TTCCTTAGCTGGCACAATCTGAGTTAAAGGCTGGGCTTCGGCTTCAACCATGTCAAGGTGGGAGGGCTTTATCAAAATCTTAGATTTTGAACTTGGAAAACGTCAACTGGCGTACATTGGCCAAAGATTGTTTGACAAATGTTGTGACATCAAGGAGAACACAAACACATTTAATCACACACATCTTCGAAAAACAGATACATACATGTGAGAAAGTGTAAAAACTAATGTGTCCGTATTCATCTGTATGTGTCTGTGTGCACTTGGGTACTTTTCTATGCAACTGCGCGCATACCTCTGCATACACCTGCTTACCTCGGCATACCTCTGTGTACCTCTGCCCATACCTCTGTATACCTCTGTGTACCCCTGCCTAGGGCAGAGGTAAACAGAGGTATACAGAGGTATGTGCCTCTGCATACCTCTGTTTACCTCTGTGTACATCTGTCTCTTCAGCTTTTTACCATGTGTCTAAGTCCTGGTTTCCAGGAATAATCAAAAACATGGTATCAAGAAACAAACAAAGGTATCCTGCCAGCCAGGATCACTCCCAACCACCGCCATGCAAGTTTTTTAAAATCATTTTGTCCTGGCAGCCAGGACTTTAACTAGCAGGCTACCATCCTGGCAGCCAGGACACCCTTTATAACCACATATGTACATTGCATCAGTGACATTCGAGAACAAATACTCATTTGTTTGCAAAAGCTTAAAGACGGCTTATAAGTAATTGGTTGCAACGGTCAAATTACAACTAGTACAAACAATGCCGAAGTCAGAGTGCGGACCAACAGAAAATCCAACAGAAATCTGGCCAACAGAAAACATCAAAGATGTAGATAGCGTAAAAAATGAACTAAAATAAGTCAAGAAAACAGGTACCTCAAAAAGAACAATGTATTCTATCAACGTCAGCAAGGGAACCAAAAAAAACATTGAAAAAACATACCAAAATGCTAACTTCCGTAACTTCAAACTAACTTCAGGAGCAGATCTTTAAAAAAGAACTTGTAAGTAAGTTATAATTACAGTAAAACATATATGTAAGTTATAATTTGAAAACGAACTTAGTATACTTAAGCCAATTTATAACGGTGTTACCGTGACTTATAACCTAACTTGCCCCAAGTTATAACTTGGTATAACTAAGGGGTCCATCCCTGTAGGTGTTCCCGGACTGGAGGTCACGTTGGTGCTCGGAGTTGGAGGAGCATAGTACCCTGCCGCTGCTTTGCGAGCACGGATGTGATCGAGCTTGGTGAGCAAGGAACGCTCGGCTCCGTCCAGGCCCACTGCCTGATTCTTCAACAAGGGGTTGTATGGAGCCTTCTCTCCAAGTTCCTCGATCTGGTGCTTCGTGTCCTCCGGCAGGGGACCGGCCTGCCTGCGCAGACCTGTTGCTCCGTAAGCCGGCGTGTACGACAGGCGGAGGAGGCACTTCGCACAGCCGACCCATTTTGCATGGCCGTTGGAGCCCGTGACCGATCCCTTGTATGCTGGAGCAGGATCGTGTTGACCATGGCACGGTGGTCCCAAGGTCCGGGGATCTCGTGGATCGCTGAGCACCGTGCGAGTCTCGTCGTACCTGTCGTCCTTGCTGGACGTAGCCTTCTTCTTCTCCTTGGTGGAGGCCGCTGGCGGGCTCTTGGCCTTCGAAGCAGCAGCTTGGGACATGGCTACCCAGCAAGGCGAAGTTGACCGCGGTGGAGGCCAGAAGGGTCAGAGCCTTCCACGACATTGATGTCTCTTGAGCCTCAAGGTCAGCGTCATTCGCTCCAGTGGTCAAGGGTGGTCTCAAAGAAGTGGAGGTGGTCGAAGAAAAACGAACTGAAAAACATTCACTCAAAAACTCATCTGCAGCGTGCCCGTGAAGACTCTTGTACATGTCCAACTCAAAATCATCAAGCAAAACCGACAAACTCGAAGTGGCGGCATGTGAAGACTGTTCTGACTCATGGATCATGAAACACGACGACGGAGAAGGCTGCGAGCACATGTATTCCTCAGACTTCGTTGGTGCAGTGTCGGTCGTGAAGAGGATACGGGTGCCCTCACTCAACCAGTCATGGCTGAGGTCCATCACCAAATGCCCCGAAGAGGATTTCCTCAATGGAACAAGGAGGGAGGCATCAATCGCCGTCAGGACCATGGCAGATCTGCCACAGTCAATGAGCGCACCGAGTTTGGTGAGCGTGCGAATGCCAACCAAAACAGGGACACCTTGAGCTTCCAAGGTGTAAATGCCGAGCGACAGGCGGTGGTTGCCCAAACGCTGAGGCAAAAGAATCACACTCTCAGACTTCTGGGTCATGCCGTTGCCGAACTTGAACATCTTGTTGGGCACGTCAACCACCTTGAATCCATCGGCATCAGATCCTGACTGGTGCCGTTTGTGCATGATCCATTCCAGGGCAGCCAACCCTGAAACAGTCTCTGTCGCTCCTGTGTCGAGCACTCCATAGCCTTCCACCTCTGGGGATCCAATCTCATCAGCGACCATGATCTCCAGAGGCCGCTCAGGATGTGAAAGAGGGTGGCAAACAAAGGTCTCCACAGATTCGTGCTCATCAGTCACCATGAACACCTTGCCACCTTTGCCGCTCCGTGACCGGCGAGGACACGAGCGGTAGTCATGATCTTTTGCTCCACAAATGAAGCAACCTTGGTAGCCAGGGGATCCCGGCTTTCCGCCACCTTGGATGGCCATCACCGGTGAAGATGCCATAGGCGAAGTCGACGATGAAGGTCTCGAACCAAGCCCTTTTCCTTTTCCACCTTTCTTTCCAAAAGATGGTTTGCCTTTGAACTTGCCCTTGGGGAAGAAGCCTCGAGAAGCATTTTTGGCATGGGTCGCACGGCGGCTGTCTTGGAAAGACCTGATCTTCTCTTCATAGGCCGCGTAGGCTTCCACAATGGGCTTCGATTCCTCAGGGGAGCTCCAAAGGACAGAGTTCCAAACATCGGCCTCTGACCATGACCAGAACGCTCCACCGGCATCTTGGTGATAGTACTCGCCATCGGCTTCCAAGTTCCACCACAAGTAGGCTCCTGGGCTTGAAGGATCTGAGGCCCAGAAACCATCATCAGCTGCAAAGGTCTCCTCAATCTCAGGTCGCGAGGTCGAAGAGCTCTCCCAGGTTGAAGTCTGAAAGACCTGGTCATAGGACATCCCACCAAGCCAATGGATGTCATTCTCCAGGAGGTCTTCGTCTTCACATTCACCAGTGAGCATGAGGCCCCATTCGCCCTCATACTCGACCCAAAACTGCGGACGGGTCTTGCCTTTTCCATGGCCTTTTGGACGGCCTTCGCGCTCCTTTTCCACAAGACGAAGCTCGTCTTCTGCTCCTCTCAAGCCCTTCTCGATGTCGTCGGCCTTCAAAGAGTTGCCAATGCTTGAGAGGACATTCAAACGCTGTGCCGCGTTCAAGGAGGACTTGCGCAGCATGATCCAGCCAATCAGTTCACTAGGAAGCACTTCAGGAAGGCCAACATCCAGGTCGTCCCAAAAGTGGTCATTCTCGGGGCCCTCCTCGCTGTCAGACGGGTCAGAACGTGAGCCCCTGGAAGGAGAGTGGTAGTCCTCTTTGCCTTTTCCAGATTTGCCACCTTTTGAGGAGTGGCGAGTAGGAGATCTCGGAGGAGGCGGCTCTTCATCTTCATCTTCATCTTCAGCAGCTCGCTGAGCTTCCTCAGCTTCAGTCCCTTCTTCAGCTGCTGGCTCAGGAGATGAACGTGCCCTCGAGGATGTCAAGGATGTAGTTCCAACACCTTTCAAGTCAGGGAGCTCTCCTCGAGCACGCTTCAAAGCTCGTTGCAACTTCCGGTACTGCTCTCGGACTTGAGCGCACCACGTTGCCATGGATGTACCTGGCATACGGCGTAGCCGCAACAGCAAAGCTTCAGCCTGAGAGCCAGCGTCAGGGATGGGAACTCGAGCAAGGCGTTCCTCCAAGAAGGATATCAAGTAGCGAGCACCGTTGGCCTGGGTCAGGGCCTTGTAGTCAATCTCCTGCGTAACGACCCAGGCACGTCCCGAGAGCTGGGACACCAGGTCGGGTCCAAGTTGTGCTCGTCGACGGCGTCTCGTCTTTTCAAATGCCAAGCGGACCTTTCTCACATAGTCCGGCCAGGTGCTGAAGTCACCGTCCCAGTGACACCTCAAGGACATATCTTTGTCCTTTTCAGTCATGACTGAACTTCAGGATGGGGTAGTCGAGAAGGAGGGAGGTGTGCAGGACAAAGTACGAACCAACCCAAAACAAATGAACCAAGGTCCAAAGCCAAGCTAGCCAGTGCCGAGGCGGTCCTCAATGTCTCGTGCAATGAGTCTAGCCACCTTTCAACAAAGGGTCACCAGCCACTGTCCCCTGGATCCAAAACTCGTGCACCTCTTCTTGAAGAGCTCCGGAGTGATCCTCTCGCTCTTCAAGGTAGCCCGAGCCTTGCAGGCTGATACTGGTAGCCCAAACAACAGGTGGATGCGGACCACCACCGACAAAGCAAGCAAAACAGGTCGAAGTCGAAGAAGGCTCTAGTAGCACTCTTTTCCACGGTCCAAGCGCCGATCAGCGCTCGAAGGTCGTCGAGCAAGTGGCACCACCTATGGCGCCCAGTGCAAAACACGTAGCGGGTCGCCTTGAAAAAAGGCGTCAGGCAAAAGGGTCCCCTAAATGGCGGCGGACATGCATCGGCGGCGAATCATGCTTCAAGTGGTCATGAAAACAATGCTGAAAGTGAACTGAATCACATATATATATATATGGGCCAATAGGGTTGTGGCATGGTTTGCGCACATTCAGGTCATGCCATTTGTTTTCAATCATGTGGATCAACCATAGCCAGTTCATTCATGATGATATTCTGCCTTTGGCATGGTATCCTGCCACGCTACGTATTATGTTTATTTATATTTCAATATGCCACAGTATGGCACAATGTGTTCCCCTGCCACTGACTGACCGATTCCGATTCCGACCCCAATCACCCTGCGCCCGGTCCTGCCCAGATGGCGCTACTGCCGGGCATGGTGAAAGCTGCCCCGAGGCACCGTGAAAGCTGAACATGGGGCACGAAACGGAGACAAAAAGGCCATCTGGATGCGAAGCAACTTAGATTCAAATGAGTTTTGAATTGAAGCAACAAAACCGTGTTTGCGTTTAGGGATGTTTAGGATTGTTTAGGTCATCAAGCTTGTCATCTGTAGACATGTCTAGTCTACAACAGCGAAGCACATAAGCGATTGGCGTACAAACAGGAATGTGGGAATGTGAAGACCTAGGATCACTGCAGCAGCCCTGTCCTTCAGGTATGGAACAAATGCATTGATTTTAGCTGGCCTAGCCTACACTGACTGTCATCTTTCTCTTCACCTTGGATCTTGCTTCTTCTAAACGCTGCAACTTCGGATGGTGAGAGTTCGTTGTTTTCATCAACAGAACATGTATAGGTAACGTCTGACACTGACCGCATGTGCCCTGATTGACAACAAAACCATTCAATTGCCTTCGTTTAGTATAGGGGGTGTCCTCAACAGTTCCACTTTCCATCTGGAAAGTCCCGAAGGAAGGCATGATGGCATGGCTGCATCAAACATAAATTGAATTTGGGCTGGAGCCATTGACCAATGGATATGCAAGTGAAGTCCCTACTCTCCAGGTACAGGAGAAATCCAATGATGCCAGCAGGGCATTTCTCTGAATCATGAATCGTATTTAGTACAGCCACGCACCCCACAAAAAGTTTCTTTTGTCTTTATTTTGAATCATAACAAACCTACTTTTTGGACCCCCTTCTAATGGCTCTTTTGAGGATCCTCTCGGCAAAAATCCATCCAAAAGAGGCACAGCCATGTCCGAAAAGCTCTAAGGATTCGCACAGCCATGAGCCATAAGGGCCAGAAAAAGCTCTGTGCCAAGGGCAAAAGGCCTTGAACCTGCCACGTGTTTCACGAACGCGGCGAAGCGCCGCTTTAACCGGCGGCGAAGCGCCCTCGTTGGTCGCGCCCAACGAGAGCGACACGTCGAAACGTCGACCGTCCGAGGTAGAGGGATCCGTTTCACGTCTAACCCGATGAAGCAAGTGCCAATCCTGGGGAGGAGCGATCGGACGCTCCGATCGGGGAAAATGGCCTTACTACTAGATCTACGTTCGGAGCACCCAAATCTTGAACCAGGTGCCACTTATACAAGTGTCCCCTTTCTCCTCCCCTCAGAAGCAAGCTAATTAGGGCGAAGTCGTCTCTGTTTCGCATAAACAATTGCCAAAAATCCCTTAGGTCTCTTCGAGGAACATGTCGCACCCGAGCGCATCTCAGCTATCTTGAAAGTTGATTAACCACCAAAATTCCACTTGATTGCCACTCCACTCCACAACTTAAGAACCCTGCGATGCTGCATCATAGTAACAAATCCTAACCAAGCGGAACGAGCTATCAATGTCACCTCACTTCTCCAAATCGTCAACAACCAGGTGTCCCACCTCTGGATGAAAGGCCACCCTAGGCGGTCGTCGGAGCCCGCAAAAGCCGCGGAAGCGGCCGCGGACCAGGCCCTCGGCGCCCTGCACATGGATCTGGAGGCGTGTAGCGAAGCAAGAGGGAGTTCAGTACCGCGAAGTCCGAAGCAAGGACAAACAAGTGCATGAATATAGATTCGATAGATACTGTATATATATATATATCGATCGTCATTTAATGTTATTGAATGTTATATATATGTATTCATCACACATACACAATAAGGTAGAGTACTCTCTATAATTCTCTATAGCGTCTATAGAGTACCGTCTAGAGTGTTCCATTCATCAACCATCCATGTAGGGTTGGCATGGGTTGGCTGTATCCTTCAGCTTATTCCTTGAGTACTTGTGCCTGGAATGAGTGGCCCAGGGTCTTCGTCGACTTCGAAAGAAAAATACCGAAGACTCTTGGCCCAGGCCAATGGGTCGGCCTGGGCCAGCTTTTCAGCTGCTCCGAGCAAGCCTTCCAGGGGCCTGGTGGGAGGACACGGTGGACACGGTGGAAGGCTTAAAAGAACTTGCCCCGAACTTGATGGGTTCTCGTCACGAAACAAACTCATCTGAGAAAAGGATAGAAAAGGACAACAAGTTTGACCAACATGCAAGTTAATATCATCCCTGATAAAACACATGGATATACCTGGATATACAGGCTCCTCTAAAAGAAAACGTTCACTCTTTGGCATCAGCTCCATGCAGTGAACTGATCGAGGAATGCGACTCGCTGTGACGTCACCAGTCAGTCGTGAGCCCAGATGCGTCCGGCGAAGGGTTCCCAAGGACTGGTACTTCAATTTGAATGCCCTTACTGTTGGTGGAAGGAGACAAATTCATGGTCTAACTGATCCGTGAAGGGTCCATGGTCTAACGGACTTCATCCAGTGGTGTCCATTCGACTTCATCCAGTGGTTTCAAGCCTTGCTGGGCTTTTACAGCGGACATATGCGGACATCAGGACTCGCCAAACAGCCGCTGCTGTTTGGAAGCTATTGCGTTTTGGTATTTTTGAGGTGCCACATGTTCACCTTCTGCAATTACAGGGTTTTGGGAATCCTCTTGTCAACTTCTCCTGCTAGTTGCAGTATTTTGGCTGCCTTGTGTTCACCTTTTGCTAGTACTTACAGGGCTTTGGACATCCTATTGTCAACTTTTGCTGCTATGTACCGCACTTTGGGCAGCCAGACTTGGATTATCGCTGGCATTTACGGCATTCCTTGCTTGCTTGCGCTTGGGTTGCTTGCTTGGTTACTCGTGCTTGGCTCTTGTGGCTTGACCTCTTTCCTTGCTTGCGCTTTGTTTTGGTCGGTTCCGGCTTGGCCACCGGCTTTCAGCACAGCTTGACATGCCAGCTGGTCATCAGTAGGACAATGCTTAACACAGTGGCAACTGCGCAAACCATAGCTATGACTTGGACTCCGCAGCAAACTGCTCGAGTGCTAATTGCACTTGACAGCCGGCCACCGGCCAAAACCCCACAACTCACAAAAGCAAACAGCTACAGAACAGTAGAAGCCACCCACAAACTCAAAAGTCAGCAGAAAGTAGCAAGAGACAAGAAAGCAATAAAGAACGGCTGAAGGCAAAACATGCAAAAACACACAGGACAGCCAGAAAGGATAACAGTAAAGCGAAGCAGGACACATTCTTATGAAAAGAATAAACGAACACCCAGAACAAATCAACCACAACATGTGATATGTTTCCATCAGGTGCCACCGTGCTTTTCCCCCTGTCTGCAGCTGCAGGTGCGCTAGCTTTGGCAAAACTGCACTGGAAGTATTTCCTTGTTCAGCAGGTTAGCTTGGACAAAACCGAGCTGGAACTGTTTGACTGAAATAGACTCTAATATCTCTAATCTTTGTGATCATGCTTCTCTCTTTCTGTTGGCTCGTGCCTAACCACCAAACTGGCGGCACCCTTGGCAGTGCCAGTAGCCAAACCCACCACACCGTCCTGGCCGCTGCCAATTTGCGGCAGTGCGGTTTCGGGTTTAGGGGGGGTTGGATTGAAGATAGGAGCCCACCTATCTAAACCGCATAGTTAAAACACATGAACAACATCTGAATAGTCTGTAGTCGCAGGGTGCAATTTCTTGAACACCAAACATGCGGGTTTGCTGCTTACACCCCAACCTACAGGATACTTGTAGAACAAAGCATGACAATATGCAAACATACATGCAGGTCCTGGCCTTACTACTAGGAGCAAGGACGCTACTGTAGCTCCTGGCCGTACCACTAGGAACAAGAAGCCACTAGGACCTAGGAGCAAAGGGCATCGCTACTAGGAGCAAGGACGACCATGCAGCCCCCCCATGCAGACCCGTGTGGCCCTCATCCATTCCTCTTCGCTCCCCTCTGCGCCCATCGAGTCCGCTCAACTCGTCGACCCGATCCTGGTTGGCCTGCTTGACTGGCTCCTGAAACCACACGGGTTCGACAGGGAGGGACAGCGTTGGTGGATTTCACCCTCTATCAAAGCTTCACTCTTTATGCCGACAGAACTTTCACATAGATCCAAATCATCTTCTATCAGTTAGTGTATTTAAAGGAACACGTCCAGCTGCAACATCATGTTTCAGGCATGATTATCTCAACTGGTTTATCATATTGAATGACTTCATACGACTTCATGATTGTCATGGCTCGATCCAGTGAATCCATGCGTGATCTTATGGCCTTCACCATGGCCGTGATGCCCTCCGACAGGCCCACAGCGATGCTGGTGAAACCCAAACCCAAGCCTGCGCCGCTGTGCCACCCGAGCTGAATGACTCCAGCTCGTTCACGAGGTGGTCGTTCCAGCCCGAAGGGGGGAAGGATCCCCTCTCTTGTAATTATGTGAATTAGGAGACTATGCGGAGAGTATGAGATCTACTTGCATGTACTTGCATGATCTTGCATGTACTTGATGGAAAAGAAACACTTGCAGCACCAGCAAAACCACCAAAGCTTTGTAAAGACCTTGCTTTTCTCCGTGCCAGGTGGTTGCAAGAGTAGTTCCAAGACAGACTGTCTCAACAGCGACGTGGATTGCAATTTTGTTTTCCCCATCACAGTGATAGTCTGTGGATGATGACAGTTCGGGACCCGGTTCAGTACACCTAGCCACAAAGGTCACAGGATGAAACAGGCTTTACATAGAAGCCACAGGGAAGCTACCCCGTGTCCAAGGAGCAAAAAATACCTCAACTCCTCACAATACTTGGGAGGATTGGTGCCATTCACGCCGGGGTTTAACAACCACAGCATGACATCCCGTACACCAGCACTGTGAGATGAAACCAGTTAAATTGAAGTGAAGAGAACCTACTGAATCTCGGTCTGCTTTAGTTCAACACCGAAGATCCTGCAGATCTGCCAGTAGATAGTCAGATCTGGAACCTGTATGAATCTGTGGCCCTATGATTCCCCCCCCCCCCATGCCAAGGAGTTCCACTATGTCCAAGTCTTCTAACATCTGAGCTCTGACTAAAGAATGCCATCAAACACTTTTGATGTTGATTTTGC